GTACAGCACACCGTCTCGCAGGCAGAACGACGTCAACGACCGGGATAAATGACGTGGTATGATTGCGCCCTGGCCCTCTAAATGATCAATGATTGGACGAATATCTGCGTCATCTTGCTACCGTTTGCTCAAGTCTGATGCACTAACGGTGCCCAGGAAGCCTTCGTCTTCCTCTGCTTCCTGACTGACGACATAAACGGGTGCGCGTGACAGTGTGTCAGCGTCTTCATGCTTACGGCCGGACTTATGGATGATGGTGGCATCAAATTCCTGCCGCCGCAAGCTCCACCGTGCTAGCCGTCCTGAAGGGTCGCGTAGGCTTGCCAACCAACAGAGAGCGTGATGGTTCGTCAAGATCCTGAAGGGACGACCATTAATGTATGGGCGAAACTTGGTGATTACCCACACGACTGTGAGGTACTCTTTCTCCGTAGTGGAATAATTCGCCTCGGCACGGGATAGAGAGCGGCTGGCGTAGGCTATCACTCTTTCGATGTCCTCTGGACGCTGAACGAGCACTGCACCGAGCCCAACGTTACTAGTGTCAGCATTGACCTCCGTGTCAGTATCATCGTCGAAATGAGCGAGAACGGGCGCTGATTGCATGCGCTGTCGCAGCTCATCAAAAGCTCCTTGTTGCTCGTTTTCCCAGACAAACGGCGTGTCGTCCCTTGTGAGACGAGTCATAGGTTTGCTATCTGTGAAAAGCCATGAATGAACCGGCGATAGTAGGCGCACAAACCAAGGAAGCGCCGGACGGCTTTCTTATCGACAGGAGCTGGCAATTCGGCAACAGCGGCAAGCTTGTCCGGGTCGGGTCAAATTCCTTCGGTGCTAACTACATGTCCAAGAAATTTTAGTTCTTTATAGCCGAAGTGGCACTTCTGTGGCTTTAGTGTGAGGTTCGCCGATCGGATAGCCTCCAGCACGCTGCGCAGGCGGTGAAGGTGCTGCTCGAATGTGGTAGAGAAGGCCACCACATCATCAAGGTAGTAGACAAGACAAGTCTGCCACTTGAGCCCTGTGAGGACAGTGTCCATCATTCTCTGGAAAGTTGCCGGCGCTGAACACAAGCCATAAGTGAGCACTCAAAATTGGTATAGGCCGTCTGGGGTCACGAAGATTGTTTTTTCTTGGTCTCGCTTATCTACCTCGATTTGCCAATACCCGCTTTGGAGATCAAGAGAAGGGAAATGATGGGCACGACGAAGTCTATACAGCTAATCGTCGATACACGGCAGCGGATACACATCCTTTTTGGTCACGTTGTTGAGCTTTCGGTAGCCGACGCAGAAGCGTAGCGGCCTGGCCTTTCTTTTTGACAAGCACGACTGGAGATGACCACGGGTTGTTAGATGGTTCAATAACGCCATCGTCAAGCATCTCGCTGACTTGCGTACGTATCGCTTCACGTTCTTTAGAAGACACGCGGTAGGGGATCTGGTGTACCGGGCGTGCGTCCTCGTACGTGATGATCCTGTGTTGAGTGATGGACGTCTGGTGGATCTTTGAGCAACTTGCGAAGCAAGACCAGAACTCGAACAAGAGCGCTCGTAGCGCAGTCTGGTTATCGGTGGACAGATCAGGATTGATGTCAATATTACTCATTGACGTGTCGGCGGTATCCACTAGTTCTGACGTGAGCCAGTTGGTGACGTTCGCTACTTCGTGGGCAAACGCTATCGAAGCGTTTGCCCACGAAGTAATAGTATATTATTCCAGTTATAATAATCCATTTATAATATTCCCAAGGACATATGCGCACAGCACCACCTATTGACCAACTCATAAACTAGAAGTGGCTACATACTACTGCTATTACAGCGGAGAGAACGACCTATGGCCTAAATAGGTTGGCTCATAAACGTTCGCAGATATCACTTTGCAGCAGGAAACGCAAGTCCGGGTTTATTGACGGATCATGGGAGAGACCTTTGTTCTGCAGTGGGCATAGTCAGGCCGGCGATGATGCTACACTCCGGCAGCCTGTCCTTCTATGTGAACTCACACTGCTCAAAACCGTATTAACCAGCGCTGCCGTCAGCAAATATCCATGGTGCAGGAAGGTTGAAACCCCTTGATATTGGGAAAGTACCGCCATCCACTGTACCCTTTGCCGCGCGCTCGACGTCCTCTCTCCCTCCTGGCCACCCTTGGCGTCCTCTCGGTCTTCGACACTTTTCCTGCACGATGATTGGTCTCCTTCGCAGTTGCCCTTGGAGACGCGTGGATCTTGCGCTTTGCTTGCTTTTCTTTTAGGGGCGAAGCTCCTTACAGCGGCCCCCGTTCATCCCTCGCAGCCGTTGTAGCATGTAACAAGTATAACCTTTTGACCTTCAAGGTGGTGCCGGTGAGAGATTTCTTCTGTGCGGTGTTAAACAATAAAAAATAGTGCTCAATGTACATGCCAATGGCTGCTAATGCGGAATGAGAGACAGGAGCATTTGGCTTTTAGGTAACGCGCACGCGGCTATCCCCATTAGCAGCCATTGGCATGTACAATGAGTGCTATCTGACAAGAAAGGTTTGCTACGTTATACTCGCTTCAGATTGATCGAGCCAGATCAAGCCAGATCGATCCTTGGCACGCATATTTGCACGAACTAATGCTTATAAATACTGTTATTTTCCTAGAACAGTAGATGAATGCAATTCACTGCCTTTTATGAATTTGTTTCGGCTGACAGTTTTGCTATATTGCTGGAACGTTACCTAATGGTGATTATAGTGGTGAAATGTGTTATAAATTTTGTCACTGTTTCACAGACATGTGACTTTTGTTAGCGTAGGAATACATGTTTTCATTTTTCTTTTTTTTTTTTTGCTGTTACAAATCACTTGATGTTTCTTATGCCCCTACTGCCGGGACTAAAATGCTGGTATGCAGTATATCTTAATAAATGAATAAAGTAAATACAAATATTCCGCTCATACTTCGTCCCCTCGACCGCACCTCGGCAATCGTCAAAAATGCACAACTGCAGTCTACTTTTACTGCGAACAATTATGCGGGATGACACAGCTTCTCGGTCGCGCTTTTCGTGACTGTTAAGATTTGCTTACGAGAACGTTTGTTGGAGAGAACGAATGAATTGGTCAATAGAGATGACACTAATTGGCGCTCGTTTCTATAACAGTATTTATTTTAATGTTTGTTTTTAGGGGACAGTTAACACACAAAAAGCATGAAAAAGATGCGGTTGATAGAAAGGAGAAAAGAAATACAGAGGCCCAGCGCAAAAAAAAAAGCTATGGCACTGTGAAAGCAAGTGAGCCATTTTCTGGGAGACCATGCCACAATCGTTTTGGTCACGCCTGCATTTGTATGTCATCCATTCTCCAATAAGAATCTATATTATCTTTTATACCAGTGTCACATGGGTACTTTTGACCCAGATCAGTCAGTGCGGTTAGAATTTTTCGGTCGCTATCGACGCGCAGGTTATGATTACATTCCTGGTGCAGAGTTTCTCCTCTCACAAGTAACCCGATCGCTAGTTTTTTGACAAAAACGCCAGAACACAATTTTTAATTAATCATTTTTTATGTTTCTGCTATTGTGGTAGATGAGTCATTGTTGGCGACACTCATTCGTACTGACATTGCCCAAAGGACTTCTCCAGCTTGGAGACCACTGCGCAAAGCTACATTCACGCCGAGAAGATGAACACATGTCTAAACAATCCCTCATTGACGAATTCATTGCAATATGTGACGCTGTGAATGCCTGTGTCGTATACTGGCACACAAAAACGGAAAAAAAATCCAAACACAGACGGGCATGCTCCCGCACAGTGGCGTACCAATTCTTTCGCGAGTGGCGGGAAAACCTACCTCACATGTCATACGGGATATAACTTTATCGACGCGCTCACCCTTCGATATAAATTTGCATACACAGAGGTGACACGACGTGAATTCTTAAGTACCACAAAGTTCAATCACACTTCAACAGGCCGAGGAATGGCGTCCTTGGCCCAATTTTCGCGTCCAATATGCGACGCTCATTTTGCTATCACGCCTCTTTCTCAGATTGCTTTGGCGGTTAACATCTACAGATACGACAAAAGTTTAATCAATTTATCATGAATGTTAGCCATTGGCATGGAGATGTATCAAGCGTCAACGAGGATACATCCACGTTGAACGCAAATATAGCTGTCAAACACCGAAACATACATTTGGCAAACCCTCAATACTTTATCAATACTTAGTAAACATTTAAAACACCTGTAAAGGCACGTTTTACTTTTTTGTTATATGCCGATTCCCATGACGGAGGGACCAACCATGATTTTTCAAGGAATGATTGCTGGTATATTTTTTCATAGTATTACACTTTCTTGCATATGATGCTGCATGCGTGTATTACAATTTCGTTTATTTTCTAATAGTCTAATTACTGCATCTGAAGCGTGCAATTATTATAATATTTCTATTGTTATATAACTCTTATTTACTTATTATCAACATCACGACTCTTTTCATTAAAATGTATCATTTGTGGTGTTAGGGGCGTAGTACATTGTTTACATTCATTGTATATGTATCAAAATTTTTTAACGGGCCCCCAGGTGCCTGCATAAATACACCCACACAAGCGGTGTAAATAAAATTTTCCTTTGAAAGAGAGAAGTGTGGGCAATTATAACGTTAAGCTATCTATCGTTGCTTCCTATCAAAATGATTGTTAGCTGTACATTGAATTCAATCGAGTTTATTGCGCAACAAGGTTGCGCGGAGACCAGGTGAAAAAGCAGCACTGAGCAGCTTAAGGGGAACCTTGAGGGAATATTGGTGCTGCGATATCGCTTAATAAACGAGCCATGACATAAGACCGTCGTCCCGATAAAGTGCTTTAAAAGGCGAGCATTCCTTCAATAAAGGGTCATTCGTTCCTGGCTGGTCCCGGCGTCCGTGTCTTTCCTCGGCCACGATAGAACAACTGGCGACGAAGATGGGATGATAGTACGATCCTGAAGCAAGCACCGGCACAGCGGTTGAAGCGGAACGGACGACTGGCCCACGCACAGAAGGCAAGCGTTTCAAAATGGCGATTCCACTAGCTTCGCAACGTTTCGGAAGCATGCCAGAGTTTAACCCGAGCAGCGACGACATCAAGTCGTATTTCGAGAGGTTTGAGAACTTGGTGGCACTTATTGAGGTTCCGGTGACAAAGAAGCTGAGACTGTTCTTGAAAGTAGTAGGAAACACCGTGTACGGGAAGCTCAAGAAAATTTTAGTCCCTGACAGACCTACTGACAAAACCTTCGCAGAAATACAGGAGGTTCTACAACAACACTACAGTCCTGAGTATTCTGTAATCGCCGAGCGTTGCAAGTTCAACAAACGCATGCAAAAGGAAGGAGAATGCGTCAAAGTCTTCCTGACAGAATTGAAACATCTGGCGCGTAATTGCGAGTTCAAGGCGTTTCTAAACGATGCGTTAAGGGATCGACTCATGGCAGGACTGCGCGACCAAGAGACTCAAAGGATATTGTTCATAACTGAAAACTTAACCTTTGAAAAAGCGTGCAAAACTGCACTTGAAAAAGAACTTGCTGCCAAGCAAACCATAGAGCTACATTCTAAAGCAGAATGCTCAACCGACATTAATGCGGTCAGTAGGAAAGCCCAAGCAAAAACCAGGCCGTCGGCACATAAGAACGAAAGGGGTCAAACGAAGACCACTTGTTATCGCTGTGAAAAAGGGCACGATGCAGACAAGTGCTGGTATCGCAACGCGAAGTGCCGCGCGTGTGCTAAAACAGGGCATCTGCAAACGATGCGTCGAGAAAAAAAACTGTCCGGTGAACTACGCTGAAGCTACAGACTAGAAATCGGACGATTCCCAGACGTATCACGTCGTGATGTGTGCTAGAGATGAGAAACAAGGCTACGAAGTGCCTTTGCTGATTCAAGGAGAGCCTATTTCTATGCTTTTGGATACGGGCGCAGCTGTCACATTGATGCCTGAAAGTACGTTCAAGCAATGCTTTTCGCAAACTGCATGCAAACCAACAAAGGCAGAGTTGAAAACTTATACAGGACAGCCTGTAAGGCTGAGAGGAGAAGCGACCGTAACCGTTGAGCATAACGGCTGCAAAATAGAGCTTCCGCTACATATAGTAGAGGACCAGGGCAAGGCTATGCCTACGCTTCTAGGGCGAGATTGGCCTTAAAAGTTGCAGCTTGACTGGAATACCGTCAGTTCTGTCACAAAAAGCGTGGATGTCAGTTCTCTTCGGAAAAATTTCCAGAAGTCTTCCGTACGACACCGGGAATAGTTCGCAACTTCGAAGCCAAAATAGCCATAGACCAAATGCTACGCCTGTGTTCTGCAAAGCCAGGTCTACGCCTTTCGCTACTAAAGAAGCAGTCAGTGAAGAACTTCGAAAACCAGAGAGTCAAGGCATCTTAAAGAAAGTAACAACGAGCAAGTGGGCCACTCGCATCATACCAGTTCCGAAGCGTGGAGGCGGATTCAGAATTTGCGGAGACTACAAAGTAACAATCAATCGAGTACTCAACACTGATTGATATCCACTACGGTTTCCTGAGGATTTATATTCGATGCTAGCTGGGGGCAAATTATTTTGCGTGCTGGACTTATCCTCGGCGTACCAGCAAGTGCCTCTCAGTGAAGAGTCTAAGCCACTGCTCACGATAAACACGCATCAAGGCTTATACGAATTCCAAAAACTTCCATTTAGAAGTGCGCGCGCCCCGGCCTCATTTCAGGCTATTATGGACAAAGTCCTAGAAGGAATTCCTAACGTAGGATGCTATATAGACGACGTCATCATCACTGGCCACAGTGTAGAAGACTGCTACACAACTGCCACAAAAGTCCTGAAAGCACTCAGCGACCACAACATAACACTGAAGGAAGAAAAATGCCAATTTTTTCGCGATTCTGAGGTTTACCTCGGGCCCAAGGTCTCGAAGGAGGGCATCTAACCCACCGCTGAAAAGAGAAAAGCAGTGCGGGATGCTCCAGAGCCCAGTAACATCACGGAACTGAGGGCTTACTTGGGTCTTCTAAACTTCTATGGCAAATTCTTGTGGAATTTGGCAACTGTGGTAGCACCACTTTATGAGCTTCTTCAAGAAGACCACAAGTGGGAATGGACGCAACAGTGCAAGAAGGCAGTCGAAGAAACTAAGGAAATGATTCTGAACAGCGGAGTATTAGCCTTCTACGACGTCACAAAACCAATCGGACTTACTTGCGATTCTCCCGCTTACTGCTTGGGAGCTGTGATTTTCCACGAAGTGCCTTACGGAACTGAACGACCAATCGCATTCGCTTCGCGCACATTAACCAGCAGTGAACGCAACTATGCTCAAGGGGGAAAAAGAAGCCCTGGCACTCATACTTGGGCTGCGACAATTCCATCGCTACTTGTATGGCCGCAAGTTCAGCCTATACACCAACCATCAGCCGCTTCTTGGTCTTCTTGGGCGCGTTAAGCCACTGCCATCATTAGCAGCTGCACGAATTCAGAGATGGGCACTGACGTTTACGGCGTATCAGTACGATCTCAAGTTCCGGAATGGCAAGAAAATGGAAGTCGCGGACGCGCTATCACGGCTGCCACTGCCTACAAGTTTTGGAAACGATGAACCGGAGTGTTTAGCTGTTTTCGATGCAACCCCGCTGACAGCGAAAGACGTTGCTCGAGAAACAAAACGAGACACATTTCTAACACGTGTTTTAAGCTACGTTCTTTCAGGATGGTCACAGCATTACCCTGACGAACTGCAACCATTTTTTATACACTGAGATCACCTGTCTGCAGAGCAGAGGTGCTTGACTTGGAGCAATCGGGCGATTGTGCCAGAAACTTTGCAAGCTCATGTTCTCTCAATGCTGCATGAGGGACACCCAGGAATGAGTCGTATGAAGATGCTTGCACGGCCGTACGTGTGGTGGCCTTCACTCGACAAAAACGTAAAAGAAACCATCCGGAATTGTCAAGTCTGCCAAAGCACTCGTCCAGCAAAGTCGACAGGTCCTCTACAACCCTGGCGGTATCCAACAAAAGTCTGGGAAAGGATTCACGCCGACTACGCTGTCAAAGACGGTGTAAATCTACTCGTTCTTGTAGAAGTGTACTATAAGTGGGTTGAAGTGTTTGTCATGCCATCGACCACAACCACGAGAACCTTGGAAAAACTGGACACGTTATTCGCCGCATACGGCTAACCTGAAGAAATTGTAACCAACAACGGTCCATAGTTTACTTCGGATGACTTTGGAGAGTTCTTGAAGCACAAAGGTGTCAAGCATACTAGGACCCCTCCCTATCATGCCGCTTCTAATGGAGCAGCAGGAAGACTTGTAAGAATGACCAAGGAAGCTCTCTTGAAGCAGGTTCTGAGCGCTCAACATGCTGGAGTGAAGAATACAGTACAAGAACGTCTCAACAAACTTCTTTTTTTTTATAGAAACACCCCACACTCGATGACTTCCGGGACGTTTGCCGAAGTTTTCCTTAAGCGCCTGCCCCGAATTACATTGTCTCTTCTTAAAGCAAGCTTTCCAGGAGACATGGCGGAACACCTGAAACAAGACACGGAGTGACGTAATCGCCACAGAGGACCCGCTGAATTTTTCTCCGTGCGAGACAGAGTGTACGTAAAGACCACACGTGGTGAGCTGGTATCATGGCAAGAAGGCACTGTTGAACAAGTTGTCAGCCCAGTCACGTACATGCTTAGGGTTCAAGGGCCACTACAGTTCACTCACGTGGATCACTCGCAACAGAAGAAAACTAGCCTATGGACCAAAGTCCCTAGTAATGCGGCATCCGCATCTGGTTCACAGAATGATGGAGGAATCCACCCAGGAGGATCAAAAGTGCCAAGAAACCTTTTGCAGGATTCGTCTTCTCGAGAGGTCTTTTTGAAAGGCAACGTGTCAAGCCAAAAAGAGGTAATTCAGGACATAACAAGACCGGATCTAGTTCCCCAGCAGTTGAGCAGCCTATTCCGACAGGCAACGAGTCATCGTCAGCATTACCGGGACGAGGCACCCGCGTGGGAAAGCCTCCTGAGCGGTACGCTGCAAAAGACCTCACGAAAAGAGCAAGTTTAAATAAATGACTGTTGTTTCACTAAGAAGGGAGGAGTGTGATATCGGTTATCAAACGAGCCATGCCGTAAGACCGTCGTCACGATAAAGCGCTTTAAAAGCAGAGAATTCCTTCAATAAAAAGGAATTCGTTCCTGGTTGGACCAGGCGTCCGTGTCTTTCCTCGGCCCCGATAGAACAGGTGCAAGAGCCCTTGTCATGCACACTGCACCAGCTTGTTACGTGAGGCGACAAGTGACGCAAAAATGACCCATCGCGTAATGACCACTTATGCACGACCACGTAAAAAATAAGCTATTTTCGATATGGCATACTGTTTTCCATTAGCTCTTCCGCTTTTACAATTTTCTGTGAGTCACCAAATCGCCTGCTTGTTATATGACGTCGCGAAGCCGGAGAGCGTCTCCTTCAAGCTGTAAGATAGCTGCCAATCACATAAGCAGCGCTTCCACATAGCAGGTGGCGAGATAAATTATGCGTTCAATAAAATATTTCCACATGCAACATAACGGTTCTAGTAGTTTTTTTCCGCGTATATATCTCAGTTAACTCATACTTGCTGAGAGAAAGAAAAATAGAGAAAAATAAGCAGCGCTGCACGTGTGTGCTTGTTTGCTCTCTGAGACTTTGAGCTGTAAAAGACAAATCGAGTTGAGTTAAAACCAATTAACCCCATTGCTAACTCAGCCTCCATAGTGCTAAAAAAACTCCAGGCCTACGCAGAAGGAGCAGCACATTCAGAGCGAAAGCTACAAGTGAGGCCTTTCAAAGCCTTTTCTAAACACTCACTGGGGTACTGCTGCAAGCACACTTGCTTGATACCCACTACGGCATTAATGATAACTTTTGGGTAGTAGACCGGCATTCGTTATGCTATATATGCCTGAAGTTGGTATACGCCACAATTAATACGTATAAGAGAAAAAATTTTCGTAACAGGTTGTAGCATTTTACGACTGGTTCGAATCCCGGCTGTGGCGGCTGCATTTCCGATGGAGGCGAAATGTTGTAGGCCCGTGTGCTCAGACTAGGGTCTGAGCACACGATTGCAGTGATGGTAAAGAACCCCAGGTGATCGAAATTTCCGGAGCCCTCCACTACGGCGTCTCTCATAATCATATGGTGGTTTTGGGACGTTAAACCCCACATATCAATCAATCAATTAAGCATTTTACGACCCACTCGTTACGCTATTCGCATTGTGCGACGACTGATTGTTCTTTCGCTTTTTTAAAAGATTTTGTACGTCGTATTAACGCGGTTGCTTTCCCGACATCGAGGCTACCTAAGGCAAGATTGCCAAAACAACCTAAGCGCCAGCGTGGCTCAGTGGTAGCATATTGGCTGGCACCCAGCCGACTCGACTTCAAGCCCCACTGTATCAGTGGTACTTTTTTTTTCACTAATATCGTGCGATATGGTTACGGACACCGGTGGGGGCGGCGGCGGACAGCTTAAAAGCAGAGCTTCTTACTTAGCTCGAGTTCACTGCTTTATTCATTGCCACTTTGCAAGCTGCCGCTATAGCTCCAAGTTACCATTAGCAACGTCGATCAGATTCATCAAAGACGAAAGCGGAAAAAATGCTTAGCCTTTCAGTACAGAAAACTTGAACATTAAAAACGATTCTTTACACGCATCGACTCGCAACGGCTTTGACAGAGCAGCGGTGATGATACATCCTTTTCGAAGAATATTATTTTCCGGAAGCAGCAAATACTTTGACCAGTTCATGAAGAGTTTGCTCGTTACCATCGGTAACTGTATGAACAAGTGACATCAGAATAAAAGCATATAGAAGTGATGTAACATTATGGAGCCCCTGTTCAGCGCCTGTCTGCTCTGCAATACCACAGGACGAAACGCGAAAGCGTCGCACAGGTGAACCACACCGCAAAAAGCCTGCAAGGAGGATCATCACAGCGGAAATGTTGGTGAAATATCGTTCTGTTGTAACATTACCTCGTATCCTTCTTTTCATTCTCCCGTAAGAGCAAAAATGAGTGATTACTGTCGTGACGGAAAACTTCGCCTTACTTGTGAGTTTCCACAGCGTGCAGCCAAGAGTGACCGGTGCACTGTTGAAAGTGGGGGGCCCCCCGCTCCAACTTTTCTCATCCGGGGGGGGGGGGGGGCTAGCGCCCTTTTGCCCCGCCCCTCCGGCTGTTACTTCTATGCTCTCGAGCAGCCTTCTCTCAAGCGAAGCCGAATGGGAGGACACCATGAGAAGTACGGAACTCAGCAGGCAAATGCAGGCAGTCAAGAGAGCCCAGGAACGGGCGGAGCGTCACGGCGTTCGGTCCTCTACGTGGGCGTAGCCAGTGGTTACAAGGGCCCCTCGTTAAAGGGTCCTGCAGTAACTCCTCCGGTTCTATTAAAGTTCACTGTCTGTTTGTCAGACAGACACGCCACAAGCGGAACTATATCATACGCAAACGCACAGCATCTTATCATGCGGCAGAAAAACATCCTCAGCATAGGACGCCCCACAAAAATTTTTTATATATTTAGCAAGCCCCACCTATACAACGTATGGTAGAAGGCGATCCTTTCATACACGGTTGCCTCAATGTTCTCAGTATTATTACCACCATTCAAAAAGAATTCAGCACTATAGTGGCACGCAAGCTGCAGCAAATAACCCGCCTCCATTAAATTCTGCGGCGCGCCCGCGGGAGCGTCGGCGAAAAAAGCGCCGCGCGTACGACAAGCGGGCGAGGAGAATCGAGGAGGAAACGCACGAGTGTGGTCACTCTGTCCTATCAGAGTCCTCTGTTTATCATTATCTATTAGCAGCGATTGGACCGTTGTTTCAAGTATGAAACAACGGTCCATAATTGCATGCTTTGCGGGTCCCCAGGTT